AGAGCCCCAACAGGACCCCAAGAAGGCACAGAGACGCCAAATAGAGAGCGAGCGGTAACGCAAAAAGCTCTTCACACCAAGGCTCCCAAGAGCGAACGGTGACGTACACAAGCTGATAAGACCAAGGCTCCCAATAGAGAGCGGTGACGTAACAAGTTCCTGACACCAAGGCCCAGCCAAGACTCAGGAACGGGCGGCAACGCAACCATCTCTGAACACAAAGGCTCCCAAGAGCGAGGGGTGACGTAACAAGCTCTCAACGCCAAGGCTCCCGGTACGAACGGTGGTGTGAGTAATTTCGGTTTCTGTTGCTGCTGCGCTCTTTCCGTTTCTGTGCCAGGCCCAGGTAACGGAAAGAGCTAGGTACGAGAGATGACGTTCTGGTGTGGGCGAAGCCCTAAAGGGAGGGGTTCCAGGGGAGGGGGGTAGCGTGCGCATGTGTGTTAATGGCCGTTTTCGGGTTTTCCCTTGGGTTTTTGCATGTTGTTCGGGTTCCCCGCCAAGCCGGCCCAAGAGCGCTCCAAGAGAGCCCAAGAGGCCCCCAAGAGGCGCCCAAGGGGCGTCCCAAGAGGGCCCCAAGAGGCCGAAATCATCGATTTTCCAAAGGAAAACGTATATTTTTAGCATATGCGCTTTGTCGGCTTTCACGGCGTTGACGACGGCCCAAGAGGCCCCCAAGACCGCCCCAAGACGGCCCAAGAGGCTCCCAAGAGGCCCCCAAAACGGCCCAAGAGGGCCCCAAGACGGCCCAAGAGGCGCTCAAGACGGCCCAAGAGGGCGCCAAGATGGCCCCAAGAGGGGGACCACGAACGGAAAAGTCTAGCCTTTCGCCCCAAGACGCTCCCAGGAGGCCCCCAAGAGCCCCCCAAGAAGCCCCAAGAGGCGTCCCAAGAGGCCCCCGGGAGGCACAAATTATTGATTTCCTATGAGAAAACGCACATTTCAGCATACAAGGCTTTTCGGCCATCACTGCGTTGAAGACGCTCCAATAGGCCCCCAAGACCGCCCCAAGACGGCCCAAGAGGCTCCCAAGAGGCCCCCAAAACGGCCCAAGAGGGCGCCAAGGCGGCCCAAGAGGCGCCCAAGACGGCCCAAGAAGACACCAAGACGGCCCCAAGAGGGGGACTACGAACCGAAAAGTCTAGCCTTTCGCCCCAAGAAGCCTCAGGAGGCCCCCAGAGCCCCCCAAGAAGCCCCAAGAGGCCCCCAAGAGGTTCCCAAGAGGCCTCCAAAAGGGCCCGACAAGGGCCCCAATAGGACTCCCAAGAAGGCCCAGAGACGCCAAATAGAGAGCGATCGGTAACGCAAAAAGCTCTTCACACCAAGGCTCCCAAGAGCGAACGGTGACGTAAACAAGCTGATAAGACCAAGGCTCCCAGCAGAGAGCGGTGACGTAACAAGTTCCTGACACCAAGGCCCAGCCAAGGCTCAGGAACGGGCGGCAACGCAACAATCTCTGAACACCAAGGCTCCCAAGAGCGAGGCGTGACGTAACAAGCTCTCAACGCCAAGGCTCCCGGTACGAACGGCGGTGTGAGTAATTTCGGTTTCTGTTACTGAAGCGCTCTTTCCGTTTCTGTGCCGGGCCAGGTGACGGAAAGAGCTAGGTACGAGCGAGTGGCGTTGAGTAGGGGGCGAAGCCCTGAATGGGGGGGGGGGTCCAGGGGGGGTGCGAGGCGCAGGCGCCCAGTGACGGAACGCGCGCGTCAGCGTGCGGTCCGTCAGTCGGAAGAAATTGGACTTGGGGGAGTTCGAGGGGGTTGGCATCCGCGGACCCCGGATGACGGAAAGCGCGCGTTAGCGTGCGGTCCGTTAGTCGGAAGAAATTGGACTTGGGGGAGTTCGAGGGGGTTGGCATCGCGGGCCCCGAGATCTAATTGCCCTCCCGCCTCGTTTTTTATCGAGTAGGACGGCCTTCGGGGCTTAAAAACAGCGTTTCGCTCGAGGCATCATCGGAGAACGCTTCTTGGGCGCTTCTTGGGCCGTCTTTAGGCGCCTAAGACAGCCCAAGAAGCGGCCAAGACGGCGCCCAAGACGGCCCAAGACGGCCCAAGAAGCGCCCAAGACGGCCTAAGAGCGCTCCACGAGAGCCCAAGACCGCCCAAGGCGGCCACAAGACGTCCCAAGAGGCCTCCACGACGCCCCAGGAGGCGCCCACGAGGCGTCCCAAGAGGGCCCCACGAGGCCAACATCATTGATTTTCTGATGGAAAACGTGCATTGTTAGCATATACGGCTTTTCGCCTTTCATGGCGTTGAAGACGGTCCAAGAGGTCCCCAAGACCGCCCCAAGACGGCCCAAGATGTTGCCAAGAGGCCCCCCAAATAGCCCAAGAGGGCGCCAAGACGGGCCAAGAGGCGTCCAAGACTGTCCAAGAGGCCCCCAAGAGCGCCCCAAGAAGGCCCAAGAGGCCCCCAAGAAGGCACCAAAACTGCCCAACAGGGCGCCAAGACGGCCCAAGACGGCCCAAGACAGCGCCAGGACGGCCCCAAGAAGGCCTCAACCGTTTGTTTTTTATCGAGTAGGACGGCCTTCGGGGCTTAAAAACAGCGTTTCGCTCGAGGCATCATCGGAGAACGCTTCTTGGGCGCTTCTTGGGCCGTCGTAGGCGCCTAAGACAGCCCAAGAAGCGGCCAAGACGGTACCCAACGACGGCCCAAGAAACGCCCAAGACGGCCTAAGAGCGCTCCAAGAGAGCCCAAGACCGCCCAAGGCGGCCCCAAGACGTCCCAAGAGGCCTCCACGACGCCCCAGGAGGCGCCCACGAGGCGTCCCAAGAGGGCCCCACGAGGCCAAAATCATTGATTTTCTGAAGGAAAACGTACATTTTTAGCATATGCGGCTTTTCGCTTTCATGGCGTTGAAGACGGTCCAAGAGGCCCCAAGACCGCCCCAAGACGGCCCAAGATGTTGCCAAGAGGCCCCCAAAATAGCCCTCCGCCTTGCCAAGATCGAGTAGACGGTCCAAGACCTTCCAAAGGCCCCAAGAGCGACCATCCGGAAAACGCTTCTTGGCGCTTCTTGGGCCGTCTTAGGCGCCTAAGACAGCCCAAGAAGCAGCCAAGACGGCGCCAAAGACTGCCCAAGACGGCCCAAGAGCGCCAAGACGGCCCAAGACGCCCCAGACGGCCCCAAGAGCGCCCCAAGAGAGCCCAAGACCGCCCCAGCAAGGCGGCCCAGAGGCCTCCGAGAAGCCCCAAAAGGTCCCCAAGAGGCACCCAAGAGGGCCCCCCAAGATGCCAAAATCACTCCCAATCAGCCCTCCCGCTTCGTTTTTTATCGAGTAGGACGGCCTTCGGGGCTTAAAAACAGCGTTTCGCTCGAGACATCATCGGAGAACGCTTCTTGGGCGCTTCTTGGGCCGTCTTAGGCGCCTAAGACAGCCCAGGAAGCGGCCAAGACGGCGCCCAAGACGGCCCAAGACGGCCCAAGAAGCGCCCAAGACGGCCCAAGAGCGCGCCAAGAGAGCCCAAGACCGCCCAAGGCGGCCCCAAGACGTCCCAAGAGGCCTCCACGACGCCCCAGGAGGCGCCCACGAGGCGCCCCAAGAGGGCCCCACGAGCCAAAATCAATGGATTTTCTGAAGGAAAACGTAGATTTCTAGCATATACGGCTTTTCGCCTTTCATGGCGTTGAAGACGGCCCAAGAGGCCCCCAAGACCGCCCCAAGACGGCCCAAGCTGTTTCCAAGAGGCCCCCAAAATAGCCCAAGAGGGCGCCAAGACGGGCCAAGAGGCGCCCAAGACCCACGAGGGCCGCAATAGGCTTCCGAGCGCGCCGAAAGAGGAGGAGGGGGAGGAGGAGGAGTGGAGGAGGAGGAGGAGGAGGAGGAGGAGGAGGAGGAGGAGGAGGAAGGAGGAGGAGGAGGAGAGGAGGGGAGGGAGGAGGAGGATGAGGAGGAGGAGGAGGAGGAGGACGAGGACGAGGACAGGAGGAGGAGGGGAGGAGGAGGAGGAGGAGGAGGAGGAGGCGGAGGCGGAGCGGAGGCGGAGGGAGGAGAGGAGGATGAGGAGGAGGAGGAGGAGGAGGAAGAGGAGGAACGAGACGAGGCCAAAGGAGGAGGAGGGAGGTAGAAGGAGGAGGGGGAGGAACAGGAGGAGGAGGAGGAGGAGGGAAAGGAGGAGGAGGAGGCGGAGGGAGGGCGGAGGAGGAGGCGGAGGAGGAGGCGGAGGAGAGAGGAGGAAAGAGGAAGGAAAAGAGGAGGAGGAGGAGGCGGAGGAGGAGGAGGAGGAGGACGAGGCCAAGGGAGGAGGAGGGATGTAGAAGGAGGAGGAGGACGAGGCCAAGGGAGGAGGAGGGAGGTAGAAGGAGGAGGGGGAGGAAGAGGAGGAGGAGGAGGAGGAAGAGGAGGAGGAGGAGGAGGGAAAGGAGGAGGAGGAAGAGGAGCGAGGGGTGGCAGTACAAACGGTGGTGTGAGTAATTTCGGTTGATGTGTTTGAGGCGCTCTTTCCGTTTCCGTGCCGGCCCAGGTCTACTGGCCTTCGGCCCATCCCGCCACCGTGCTTGGGTTGGGTCAGAGGTTTCCAGAATACATGAAGGGTATGTCGGGATGCCTCTCTGAGGCCTCTTGGATGACTAATTATTGGGGGGCCCTTTGGGGCCTCTTGATGGTCTCCTGGGGGGGCATGTTGGGAACCTCTTGGGGGCATGCGGGATGCCTTTCGAGAGCCTTTTGGAGTCGTGGAGGGTTATTGGAGGCTCCTTTGGGGCCTCTTGATGGCGTTCTGGGGCCCCCTCAGGGGCACCTTGGGGGCCTTTCGAGGGCAGCTTGGGGGCCTCTTTCGGGCCTGCTGGCGGTCTCGGAGGTCTTGGGGCGGAGGGCTCGAAATCTCAAGCCCCAATGGTTCTGCGACAAGCCCGGGGAGCGCCCAGGAGCGCCCGGAATCCAGGGCCTTTGGCCGCGTCGAGAGCATTTGCAATAGTCGACAACGATGATGAGGACTCTTGAGGGCCTTAAGAGGCTCCATGTCGTGCCTCGCGGCACGGTGGCGGATTTGAAGGTCGTTCTTCGTTCATGCTGAGTGGCTCAAGGCGCCGCCCGAAAGATCCGACTAGGCGTAAGAGTGACCTTTCGCCGGAGTGACCTTTGGTGCGGGCACAGATGGGCCCCCAGATGGCCGAAAGAGAAGCGGTAGCAGCGGCTTGCGCGCTTGTTTTTGGACCCCCCGCGGTCCCAACAAGCCGCGCACCAAAGGTCACTCTTACCTAGGGTCACTCTAGCGTGTAGCCGACAGATCCCCGCCCCCCATGTCTCCCACATTCCACACCCCGAATGTTGCTCCCTCTGAAGGCAACCCCTTAGCTCCATGTTTGCTTCTGCTGGCGAGGCACGTAGCGCACACGCGCAGGATGGTTCGCATCTCAACGCTGGCTCCACCAGCTCCGAGGCTGCAGGGCGTAGCATGCATTTCTGGGCGCCAGAAATCGTGGGCCCCCCAGAGAGAGTCGAGGAGCGTGGCCGCGCACACGCTGCTTCACCGCTGCGAGCTCCACCAAGCACGCGTGCGGAGGTCATCAATGCTGTGCCAGATCAGGCCAAGCGCCCGATTGCTGTTTCGTCGAGTGTTTTTTTGTTAAGTCATGTGTCTGCTTTAGCGTCCAGCACGTGCTCCCTTCGAGTGCTGCGCCAATTCATCCAGCTGCATATGGCAAATCCCGCCGCCATGCCCGGCAGAGCATGGGGGGAGGCTGCCAGACCCGCTCCAGCTCAGCCAATTGCACGAACTGGCGCTGCTCTCAAACAGCCCCTCCTCGTACGCAGCCTCGTTATCCTCCTTCTCCTTCTTCCCCTCCTCCTCCTCCTCCTCCTCCTCCTCCTCCTCCTCTTCGTCCTACTATGGAGGACATCTTGGAGGCTTGTCGGCAGCTTGTTCGGGGCCTCTTCGGGGGCCTCCTCCCCATTTGGAGAGCACATTGGGGGCCTTTTGGCAGACTGTTCGTGGCCTCTTGGGGGCCCCACTGGGGAGCTTCTTGGGAGTATGTCAGGGGCCCCCTTTGGGGCCAGCCGGGGGTGTCGAGCCCGTTTTCGGCGAGATGGTTCTGACGAGCTCTCCCGGAGAAGCTAGCTTAAGCCGACTCGAGGACGTCTGGCAGGGTCGTGCGGCCGTCTAGCGGAGTCGGAGGGCCGTTTGGGCCCCCTATCGGGCTGTCCGGGGTCTTGGGGTCTCGTGGGCCTCTCTGAAGTTCACAATCGGAAGCAACCGATTGTTAGCATCCTTGGATGCTTTTGGGGAGCTTCTTGGAGCGTCTTGGGTCATCTTGGGCAGGCGTTAGACTCTTTGGTGAGGTCGATGTGTCGCCATGGGCGTGTATGGAGCCACCTTGCATCTGTCCTGGAGCGGTCTTGGGCGCCGTCTTTGCTCTTCCAGAGAAAGAGAATGGCGGTGGGGAGCAATATACTGAGGGGGGTGCCTACGACTCTTTCGAGTGGCGGGGGCCCGCCCCAGGGGCACTGCGGGAGCAATATGAGTCGATAAAAAGCAACATGATTGTCATCGATCGTGCAGGCACTGTAGCGGATACTGTATATCCAGTGCCTTGGCCTTGTCAGTGAGAAGCCAGTAGCTGCTTCACGTAATTAGCACCTCGCAATCGCGGATAAGAGTGAGTGGGCGGCGGGGGCGTCTGCAGTCTGCGAGGCTCTGAAGAAGCCCGCCGCAGGCGCCTAATTTTCACAAATCATACAACGAGCCCGCCGCAGGCGCCGTTTTTGCGTTAAAGCAATGTGGGTGGGTCGCAGGGTGGGTCGCGGGTGGGTCGCGGGTGGGTCACAGATGGGTCGCGGGCCGGGTCGCGGGTGGGTCGCGCACGGGTCGCGGGGTAGGTCGCGGATGGGTCGCGGGTCGGGTCGCGGAAGTCGACGCCAAACAACAAACAACATTAATAGCAGCAACAACAACAACAACTACAACAGCAACAACAACAAACAACAACAAAAACAACAACAGCAATCACTTTGATATTGTTCGCTTTTCTCTGTTCGAGTGTCCGCTAACGCGTATTTCCAAACCCTCGATACGCGCCCTCTTCGTTTTCGATCGTGCCCGTTTTGGGGGGTAGACCGTTCTTCCTTGCAGGCCGGGCCCCGGCAAGCGGCGGGGCGGCCGCGGACCGCAGGCCTGGCCAGCGGCAGCGCTGATCAGCGGCAACCCGACCCCAAGAGGGACGGACAGGGGACCGACCACGACGACGACCACGACGACGACGACGACGACGACGACGACGACGACGACGACGACGACGACGACGACGACGATGTCGACGACGGCGACGACGGCGACGATGATAACGACGAGCGAAAGCGAGAGCGAGAGGGAGAACGACAGCAGGGCCACGAAGGGCACGAAGTGGGCCACGAAGGGCGACAGCGGGGACACGAAATGAATGCGTATGGGGCCAGGAAGAGCGCGAACGAACGGGGGCCACGAAGGGCTGATAATGCGGGGCTACAGAGGGCAACGACGGAGCCACTGAGGGTAGCAACTCGGCCACGTAGGACAGCGAAGGGGCCACAAAGGGCGACAGCGGGGCCACGAAGGGGTATGCACATGCGGCCGCGACGGGCGCAAATGAGCGGCGGCCACGAAGGGCATGCGTATATTGGGCCGCGAAGGGCAAGGGCGGGGCCACTGAGGGCAGCAGCGGGGCCACGAAGGACAGCGAAGGGACCGTGAACGGCGACAGCGGGGCCACGAAGGGCATGCATGTGGGGCCACGACGGGCGCGAACGAGCAGGGGCCACGAAGGGCATGCATATATGGGTCCACGAAGGGCAGCGAGGGGACTATGAAGGGCTGCAACGGGGCCCCGAAGGGCAGCGAGGGGGTCACGAAAGGGTGCAACGGGGCCACGAAGGGCAGCGAGGAGGCCACGAGGGGCTGCAACGGGGCCACGAAGGGCAGCGAGGGGGCCACGAACGGGTGCAACGGTGCCACGAAGGGCAGCGAGGGGGCCACGAAGGGTGCAACTTGGCCACGAAGGGCAGCGAGGGGGCCACGAAGGGCTGCAACGTGGCCACGAAGGACAGCGAGGGGGCCACGAAGGGTTGCAACGGGGCAACGAAAGGCAGCGAGGGGGTCACGAAGGGCAGCAACTGGTCCACGAACGGCAGGGAGGGGGGCACGAAGCGCTGCAACGGGGCCACGAAGGGCAGCGAGATCCCGACTCCTGAATAATATGTGCGGGAGTCCTAAGCGTGAGCGCGACTCCTGGGTGCCTGAGTCTCGGGAGCGCGGCGCTTAAGTAAATTGCGGG